TATTCCCTCCTCCCACGTCAAGTCCCACCCCCATCTCCTACCTACTAGCCTCATCCTGCCCCCTTGACCTGTCCGTCCTCCCTGGACTGACCTATCCCCTCCCTAACTCTCCACCTACACTCACTTTTACTGGCTCCATCCCCGCCTCTTTGACCTGTCTGTCTCCTCTCCACCTATCTTCTCCTTTATCCATCTTCTATCCACCTCCTCCTCTCTCCCTATTTATTTCAGAACCCCCTTCCCCGCCCCCATTTCTGATGAAGGGTCTAGGCCCAAAACATCAGCTTTCCTGCTCCTCTGATGCTGCTTGGCGTGCTGTGTTCATCCAGCTCTACACCTTGTTATCTCAGATTCTCCAGCATCTGCATTTCCTACTATCTCCATATCAAGGTGCAGATTGATGAACCTCAATTGGCTAATCCCATTGAAGAAACTAGTATGATTATTCGCACTAAACCTGAAACATCCCCACCATTTAGGCCTTAGGGCCAAGTTTGAGAGCTTTAAGGAACATTGCACTGCCAAATTCTGCTAACAAAGAAATTTTTAAAAACCTGTAATGTTTGAAAATCTGAAATAAATGGAGATCGTTTTAAAATGAAAAAGGGACGGGTCACAGACCAAAGGCTCACAGACCAAGTTAGTTTAAATAGAAGATAAATTTGTTGCTTTTCAAATTTTAGAAAGTAAATAATCATTACCAATCATGAAAATATTCACTTTTGTGTCCTATTCTAGTGTGGTTACTGATAGGAAGCCACTTGTCAATCTTTATTGTTGCATTATTGATTTGGAAGTGCTTTGGGAATTTGAGTTCATGAACTATTCTATGTAAATTAGAATTATTCCTTATGTCTGTTATAATTCATGATACATAGGATAATTATATCAATGTTTATATCTTTATTGTTCATCTGCTTTTGAATATACTTATTCATATAGTTCCAATTTTTGTTACTATTATGTTGCTTGGATCCTATTTTTATTTAATCATTCCTTAATTGAATAACTTGCTTGGCATTCAGAGCCAGTTAAGGTTCAACCACACTACTGTTATAGTGTGATGGATAGGACATCTCGGTAAACATTTTTATTATTAAGAAAGTTTATACAAGGTCTTTTTGTGTAATACTGGATGTCACTTTAATCATTAAATATACTAACTCCTTCCTTGACTTACAGAGAATACATGTTATAGTTTAGCAAGGAAAAAGTAATTTCAAAGGCACTCTGGCTAAGAAGCAGTTTCTGAGACCTATCTGTTCAGGTGTTGATCAATTTAATCTGGCTTATTGTCACTTTGACTCCCGTTTTGGTTAGCTAGAGACATCATGCAGGTTTGCAGAAACCTGAATTGAGAAAACATTGTGTTCACAGTGTGAAGTACATTCATCAAAATTACAGAGAGAATAGACGCATTTTGGTTTAAGGTATGAGCCCTTTGTCAGAACAAAGCTGGTCATCATGGTAACTTCCAGTGTGGTAAAGTATCCACACCTCAAGATTAGGGTTGTCTGTTCTGCTATTTTTGGTTGTATTTGGGAATGACATGGCCTGCTGTTTGATAAACTCCTCATTTCCCAGTGCTCGGTTTGTGTTTTAGGTTATTTGCCATTGGTCCTTGCCTCTGGCTGTTAAAAGTGAAAGAAAACAAATAGGAAAATACTTAGAAGCACACACTGTGCACTAAAGTTTAGAATGGAGACATTTAGATAGAAGATGTTCAATTTATGTCAAGCAAAATGACATATTGCTCAATTTTGTATGATACAAAAGTGGATAGCTTGAAGTGTGGACTACATTGTCAGATGTTTACTGATAGAAGATCCCCATTACCAAGTATCAGAGCGTACCTGCTCCACTCGCTATGCCTCCGACACAGCCATTGTCCATTGCCAGGGCCAACTGTCTGAGAACATGGGAGCTTTGAATCAGATTTAAAGTCAGTAAGTTAAATGCTACAACTGAAAGGCTGTAAAGTGCCTAACATAAAGATGAGGAGCTCTTCCTTGAACTTGAGTGAACATTGAGTCATTGAACATTCAAAGAATGTTAGAAGTGAAGAAGAGATATTTGAGAGTGATTACAATGGAAAATTGCAATGGTAAGTGTTTAGAATCTCACATGCTTGCAGTCTGAATTAAGTGTTCAGCTAAGCAATCACCCAGTCTGAATTTTATCTTCCCAATGTATAGGAGACAGCAATGAGAGCAGTGGATACTATTTACCAAATTGAAATACAAATAAATTATTGTTAAGCCATGAAGTAGTGTTTGGATCATGGACTTTGAAATGAGTGGAGGTGAAAAGGCAAATTTTCATCACCTGCATTCAGATAGAAAGTGCCAGAGGTATGGGAATAGCTACAATGGGAGATGAACCAGGATGTTGTGGAGGGAATAATCGCTTCAGGGTGCTGAACAGGGAAGGGAGAGGAAGATGTGTTTGGAACAGATACAGTGGACAAACAGAAAATGAAAGTTCTTACTAGATTGTTGGCATGGTCTGTACTTGTTTAAAAATAAACATTAAGCTCGATAATTATCCACTAAAAGGCATCTATCTAGAAAGTTAATCCTGTTTTTTTTCTCCATAGATGCTGACTGAAGACAAACATTCAGGAGGAAATGGGGTAAAACAATCAGGACAGAAGTAACCCGAGAGCAGCAAGAGAGCCTGTCCTTGCGACCTCAGGCAAGTGCCCCACCTGTGGGAGCTGCTGAATGGGTTGCTCGGCCCCTCTCAGCCAGAAGTGACCCGCACCCAGGCCACAGTCCATCTCTCACACTGATGCCATCAGATGCTGTCACATCAGCAGAATGTTTTCCCAAATTTCTTGTTCTGATTTTATATTATTTCACTTTCTGCACTGTTTTCACATGGCAATTGCCCAGTGTTCTTCGTAATTGCTTAATGTGATTTGCCTGTATTTCCCTAAAATATTGATTCTGTGGATTATTTCTAATTAAATATTGTGGTGATTTAAACCTATTGCTGCTTACCTCCATGTGACAATGCTCCAGGGATATGGAAGAGACAATGATTGCAAACCCATAAAGATTCCTTAGTAATCCCACTACTCAAAAGGTTTCTAAGCGGATCTGGACTCCATAGATGCAGGCAAGACTGGAAATAACACTTCACTTTGCTGTCTTTTTTTTCTTTATTCATTCAAGGGATAAGGGCATTGCTGGCTAGGCAGCATTTATTGCTCATCTCTAATTGCCCAGAGAGCAGTTTAGAGTCAACCACGTTGCTGTAGGTCTGGAGTCACATTTAGGCCAGACCAGGTAAGGATGGCAGTTTCTTTCCCTAAAGGACATTAGTGAACCAGGTGGGTTTTTCCAACAATCCACAATGGATTCACGGTCATCATTAAACTTTTAATTCCAGATATTTATTGAATTCAAATTCCACCATCTGCCGTGTAGGTCCCCAGAACATTATCTGGGTCTCTGGATTAACAGTCCAGCGATAATACCACTAAGCCATCGCCTCCCCTTATCGTTTGGGAGACCCTCAGCTGAAAACAGAATTGAAAGGAAAGTTGGTCATTTAGAAACCTGAAGGGAAGTGACGAGTCCACTACACGTTATATCAAATAAATTCATGTAAGTCATCAGTGTCGCTCCAATCACTAACATCACAAATGTTCGGTTAAGACAGTATATCTCAAATCTGCGCCAAAAGCTCTTTTTTTTTTAAATAGTGAAGTTTGACTTAAGAATGACTGGTAGCAACATTACTCGAGTCCTGAAAAGGATACCAAATATAAATATCCCCTCCCCTTCCCCCCATTCTGGAATACTGCTCAGTGGAAAAAAAGTTGAATAGAATACGGTTTAATTGTCGATAGCGGGGTTAGAGCGTGAACCAATGTCCTTCACTGACTGGGACTTCAAAGTGTTGACAGACTGTTCGCCAGCTTCTCCGAGATGGTCCCACTGCGTGTCTGTTCTCCCAATGCCTGCGTGCCTTCTGGCTCAGCAGCCAGACTGCCACGTTGTGTGGGCAGGGCAATAGCAGCGAAAAAAAAAAGTGGTCGAAATATGAGGCCCCGTATTAACTGGATCAGCTGCGTGGTCCCGAGAACCGCGAGGAAATTCCCTCCATTCTTTCTCATACTGAAGGATTATATGTCTGACTGTGTGTTTATGTCGGAGTGTGTGTATCTGTGTGTGCAAAAGTGTGTATCTGAGTGTGAGTTTGCGAGTGTGTTTTGTTCCTATCTCCCCGGACAATGATTGTCACACGGTTCGTGACAATCGGTAATGCCTCTCCCAGTGAGGGGGGTGGGGGAGGGAATATATTTGCATGAGCAGGGGTCCCTATTTCAATGACCAAACCACATTGTGTCCACACAATCGAGGCTAGTGTGCAGCTCCCAGTTAGAAAAATGAAATGGTGGGGAGGGAGAGAGCCAGCAGCACAGGAGCTGCAGGGATGTTCTGGAGTGGTTTCTGAGGCAGATGAGAGTGAAGTTGCGGGAAAATCGGAAAGTGATGTAACTGAACTGAGCTGCACATCCCAATGAGCGTGTTCCCCTCCCCGAGTACGTGGCAGTGGCGGTCCCAATCCTGAACAAATCACTGCAGCTCTCTGAGTATCACAGAACAGGAGAGAGAGAGAGAGAAATCAAACTCAATCAGCAACTTTGTGGAGCTGAAGAAAGCAGCAATTTGGCGAGAGGTGAACCTCTAGTTGAGTGCAGCCCGGCAGAGAGTGCATTCCAGGGCAGCAGCGACTCTCAGACATTGAAAAAGCAGCTTGTTCTCCTGGAGACTGGGCATTTTCTGCTTCATGACAGACATGACTTCCGTAAAGCAAAGGAATAAAAGCCACCCCGATCGGGGGTCTCACTCCAACCAGGACGACGTGGCGAAAAGGGGCTCGAAGGGAAGTAAAGCGGGGCCAGACTCCGGCTCGAGCATCTGCAAGGTGCTCAGCGGCTTCTTCATGTTCGCTGTGGCCGCCGCCGCCGCCTCACTGAGCGCCTGGTACCTGCACAGCCTCTCCCAGCAGATCAACCACCTTCACCGAAGGAGCGAAGAAACATCCCTGGAAAGCGGCGGCCTGGCGACCAAGTTGGAGACCGTTTTGCAACAGGTAAGAACTCCCCCCAGACACACACACACACACTAACCAACAGCATTTCTTTTTGAAGCTGGAAACCTAAAACAAAACCAGAAACTCAGCAGGTGTGGCAGCATTGGCGGAGAGAAAGTAGATTAATGTTTCGGGTCCCGTGACCCTTCTTCAGTCCTGAACTTCTGCTGTTGTTGAATATTTCTGATGTGTGTTGATGTCCACGTGAAGTCAGTTTCTCACTTGAACAATCAACTTCAGAATGATATTGCCAATTTTCACACGTGGCCATTTACATCTTTTACAATCCAGGATGCTATTCGTTTTGCCAATCCCACATTATCTTTCGCGCTTTTACCTTTACATCCGTAGGAGCAGGAATAGGCTATTCAGCCCATCAAACCTGCTTCATCACTCTAGAATCCCTACAATGCTGAAAGAGGCCCGAGTCCACACCAACCCTCCGAACAGCATCTCACCCAGACCCAGCTCCCTACCCTATCCCTGTAACCTCATATTTACCATAGCTAGCCCACCTAGCCTGCACAACCTTGGACACTAGATCATAGCCCATCCACCTAACCTGCACATCATTGGACTGTCGGAGGAGACCACAGCATCTGGAGGAAACCCACACAGTCACCCAAGGCTGGAATCGAACCTGGGCCTCTGGCGCTGTGAGGCAGCAGTGCTAAACACTGAGCCACCATGCCCACCTCTTGATTATGACAAATCATTTTCCTCAATGCCATGTACACAAAGTATCTCCCAGCCCTTGATGACCTTAATAATTAGAAATCTATTGACACAAAAAGACAAAGTGCTGGAGAAACTCAGCAATGTCTTGCAACATCTGTAGAGTGAGAAACAGGGTTAATTTTTGAGTCCAGTCACCCTCAGTCAGAACTTCTGAGTTCCTCCTGTGCTTTCTATTTTCTTGTCTGATCTCCAGCATCCACAGTTCTTTTTTTCATTATAGAAATTTATCGAACCCTGCATTGAACATGCTCATTGATGGAGTTTCAACAGCCCTCTGGGGTAGAGAATTCTATATTCTTCTGAATGAAAAAGTTTCTCCTCAATCAGTCCTAAATGGCTTGCCTTTTATTTTGAGACTGTTTCCCCCGGTTTAAGACCCCAGAGCCAAGTGAAACATCAAAAGAAATTGCTTTGAAAACTCAGCAGGTCTGACAGCATCTGTGGAGAGAAAGCAGAGTTAACATTTCGGATCCAATGATCCTTCAGTGGCACATCATGGAGATTCATGCTATTCTGGGTGGATAAATCTTGAGTTGGAATCCACGTGGTGTGAGTCTGAGCCATTCACTGAGGAATGTGATGTGGCTGTGGAAGTATGTTTGGCAGATACCTTGTCAAACACCAGGAACGACAACAAAAGTAATGTCAACAAATGAGAGAAAAGATTAGAATGGAAATCCTGTCGGAGAGAGGAACAGAACTTCTTCAAGATGGGCACACCTGGGAGAGATGAGAAAGTGAGTTAAACACTGAAAGAAAACTCAAAGAACTGCGGATGCTAGAAATCAGAAACAAAAACAGAAATTGCTGGGAGAACACAGCAGGTCTGGTAGCATCTGTGGAGAGAAAGCAGAGTTAACATTGCAGGTCCAGTGACCCTTCTACGGAACAGGCAGGTGAAACATCCTTTCTGCACCTGCATTGACTATCCCTTTAAAATATTATGAGATCACCTCTCATTCTTCGAATACAGGCTCAGACTCCTCAATCTCCCTCATCGGACAGTGCCACCAATGCAGGAATCCAACTGGTGAACATCCACTGCATTCCTTCTATGGCAACTATATCCTTTCTTAGACAAGGGGACCAGAACTGCATGAAAACTCACCTATGCTCAATGCAGCTGAAGAGAGATTTCTTTGCTCCTGTATTCAAATCCTCCTTCAATAAAGACTAACATACCATTTGTCTTCTGAACTGCATGGTCCATGAGACATGTCATGTCCTTCAGTCTATCATCGTCATCTACATCTTCAGTCTATCATTTTAAAAAATGTCTACATTCGCTGTTATCTCCCCAAGATGTAGTATTTCACATTGTTCCATATAAAACTGCACATCTGTACCTTATTGAACATACCTATGCCTCCAGTAATTTCTGCATTCTCTGTTTGCTGTGTTCTCAGTCAGGAATCAGCAGCAAACTTCAGTATCATTCACTCCTCCCAGTCCATAAAAAATAACAAAATGATCACTTCAAACAAAAACAAGCATCTGTTTACCCTTTCTGATACATGGTAACGTAGAAGAGTACAGCACAGGAACAGGCCCTTTAGTCCACCATGTCTGTGCTGACCATGATGCCATTCTAAACTTATTCCAGCTGCCTGTGCAAGGTCCATATCCCTCTATTCCCTGCCTGTTCATGTGTCTGTCCAAATGCCTCTTAAACATTGCTATTATATCTGTTTCTACCACCTACGCCAGCAGCATATTCCAAGCATTTACCAATGTGTAAAAAAATTGTCTCGCATGTCTCCTTTAAACATTCCCCCTCTCACCTTAAAGCTATGACCCTTATATATGACATTTTCACCCCAGGTAAAAAGAGTCTGACTATCCACCCTATCCATACCTCTCGTGTTTTATATACTTTCATCAGGTCGGCCATCAGGCTCTGATGCCTCCACATCCTTCCTATAGTGTGGTGCCCACAACTGCACACAATACTCCAAATTTGGTCGAGCTGAAGTTTTATACCGCTGCAACATAACTTGCCAATTTTTATACTCAATGCCCCAACCGACGAAGGTAAGAATCCCACCTTCTTTACCACCTTTTCCACTTGTGTTGCCACTTTCAGGGACTTGCACTCCAAGACTCCTCTGTACATTAATGCTCATAAAGGTCCTGCCATTTACTCTATGCTTTACTCTTGCATTTGACCTCCCAAAATGCAACTCCTCACACATATTTGAATGGGTACATGAATAGGAAGGGTTTAGAGGCATATGGGCCAAATGCTGGCAAATGGGACTATATTAATTTAGGATGTCTGGTCGGCATGGACGAGTTGGACCCAAGGATTTGTTTCCATGCTGTACAACTCTATGGCTCAATGACTCTATTATCCGGATTAAAATCCAGCTGCCATTTCTCCACCAACTTTCCAACTTATCAATATCCAGCTGTATCCTTTGACAACCTTCTTCATAATTTACAACTCGACCAATTTTCGTGTCATCTGCAAACTTACTAATCAGACCACTTACATTTTCATCCAAATATATGTGTTTATATGTTTAATTGATTGCATTTATATACCATTTAAAACCATATACTTGCAAATTTTTAACACTCTCTAACATGGTGAATATTCCAATGCCTACTTAACCTGATTTTGCCCTCACCAATCTGCCACTCCATCGATGACAATATTAGTAAGACTGACCACTGTATAGTTCTTGTTGAGACAAAATCTCATATTCACAGTGAGGACATTTCCCCCATCATGTTGTGTAGCAGTGTGGTAAAAGGAATAGATCAGATCTCTCAGCTTGAAATTGGCCATCCATGAGGCCATCAGCAGCAGTGGAATTGCAGTCAACCACAATCTATGATCTCATGGCCCAGTATGTGCCTCACCTCAGCATGCCCATTAAGCCAAGCACCACCTGATTTAGTAAGCAAATGCATGCCAAGAATGGCCTGAAATATAGCTAAAAATTGGATGCCAACCTGAAAAATCTACAATGTAGGGCTACATCCATGCTAAACAACAAAAGTTGTATTTTATACATGGACCTAAACAATCCTACAACTGATGCAGTCCTGATGCTATGAGCTCTGATAAAATCTGGCTGCACTGTTGAAGACTTGTACATCAGAACTAACTATGTCCCCCGTTCACAAGCTGTTACAGAACATCAACAAAACTGTCATCTACTCAACAAAGTTGGATTTTGTCCAAGTATTTGCTTTTCACTATAGACAGAATAAATTCAATTCACCCATCTACCACCCCATTTGAACTACCACAAAAGTGATGAAGGTGTTGTCACTGAGTCTACTTCAACAACCTTCCAAATGCACCGCTTCTAGCACATAGAATATAGGCATCAGGCACATGGGAACATCACTGCCCCTACAAATACCCCTCATGTCACACACCATCCTGACTTGTAAAAGTATTGTCCTCATTTGATGGTCACTAGGTCAAAATCCTAGAAATCCCTCCAGAACAACTATGTGAATGAACCTACAGCTACATGAATTTCAACAGTTTAAGGCGGTGCCTCATCACTCCACATTTTTCATTCATTCTTGGTATGTGGGCAACACTGGCTGGGCCAGCATATATTGCCCATCCCTAGTTGTTCTTGAGAAGGTGGTGGCAAGCTGTGTTCTTGAACCATACTATTCTGTTTGGCTCAGGTACACCTACAATGCTGTTCGGGATGGAGTTTCATGATTTTGTCTCCCCAGTGACAGTGAACAAAAGATGATATACTTTCAAGTCAGGATGGTGAGTGACTTGGAGGAGGGCTTTCAGGTAGCAGTGTTTTCATCTATCTGCTGCCTTTGTCTTCTAGATGATAGTGTTCATGGATTTAGAAGATGCCGGCTGCTTTATCTCAGGAATTTTGGTGAATTCCAGCAGTGCATTTGGTAGCGGGTACACAGTGCAGCACCGCTACCACGCATTGGTCATGAAGGGAGAGAATATTTGAGAATGTGGTTCAAATTAAGCAGGCTGCTTTATCCTAGATGGTGTCAAGCTTCTTGAGTATTGTTGGAGCTGCAATCATCTGGGCAAGTGGGGCATATTCCATCACACTCCTGATTTGGGCCTTGCAGATGGTGGACAGGTTTTGGGGACTCAGGAAGCAAGCTGCTTGCTGTAGGATTCCTAATCACTGACTTGCTTTTGTAGCCACTATGTTTATATGGCTAATCCAGTTCAGCTTCTGGTCAATGGTAAACCCCAGAATGTTGATAGTGGGATAATTCAGTGATGATAATGCCACCGAATGTCAAAGATGATGGATAGATTCTCTCTTGTTGGAAATGGTCATTTTCTGATGCTTATGCAGCATGAATCGCCACATGTCAATCCAAACCTAGTTATTGTTCAGGTTGTGCTGCATTTGGACATGGGTTTCTTCAGTGTCTGATGAATCATGAATGTTACTAAACATTTGCAAACATCCCTACTTCTGACCTTATGGGGGGAAGCTCATTGATGAAGCAACTGAAGGTGGTTGGGGCTAGGACACCACCCTGAGGAACTGGGAGCTCTTGAGATACAGTGTTAACGTCCCTATCTCTGAACCAGGAGACACAAATTCAAGTCTCACCTGCTCCAGAGTTGCATGATAATATCTCTCAACAGGTTATTTAGAAAATATCTACTTTGACGAATTCCTTTAGGAAGGTCCTGGAGTTGAGATGACTGTCCTCCAAGAACCATAACCATTTTCCTTTTTGCTACATGTGACTCCAACCAGCAGATAGTTTTCCCTCTAATTCCCACTGCCTGTAATTTTCCTCGGATTCCTTGATGCTATGCCACGTCAAATGCAGCCTTGATTTCAAAGGCAGTAATTCAAACTTCATATTTGGAATTCACCCATTTTGTTCATGCTTCAACCAAGATGGTAATGAAGTCAGGAGCTGAATAGTCCTGATGGAACCCAATCTGAGAACAGGTTATTTTTAAGCAAGTGTTGCTTGAAAGCACTGTAGATGATGCTGGTCTTGCCACTGATATTTACAGCACTTAAAATCTAAAGAAATTGCATCTTAGCTTCTGAACAGTTATTTTACAAGATTCCTTTGCACATGCTGTGACTCCTTGAAAAATTCAATTAAATTAGTCAGGTATATGTTTTTGAATATACCTGATTAATCCGTGACACTCCCGTTTTCATCAATGTTATGCTACATTAGGGACTCATGAGATTAAATTTGTAAAGCTGCAAACTTGGTTCAAATTCTTTCCTCGATCGGAATGTAAATTTGAGAATTGGACATGGAGATCAATGCTTCCAATTCAGTGATTCAGTTTAATCACCAGAAAATCACTGGTGCTTTGAATCAACTGCATTGTGCCTCATGCCTAGTTCACAATATGCTATTGTTAATGGAAACTTCATATTGAGGCAAATTCTCAAAACAAAAGAAGGGTATTTGATAGGCATTTTGTGGTGCAGTGTAGTGTCCCTGCCTCTGAGTTAGAAGGCCTACATTCAAGTCCCATCTTCTCCAAAGGTGTGTCTGAACAGATGAATTCAAATATCCATTAAAGAGGGCATTTAGCTGGAATAGGATGAGCAACCTTTAACAATCAGATTCTCCAAAAAAAAACAGGTGATTTTTTTTTCTCAAGATTTAACCTATAAATATTTGAACATTCCTTTTTTTAGAATATCACTGTTAACTATGTTATGATAGCAGCACAGCCCTTTAAATGTTAGGACAATATTGTTTTAAATAATTTTGATCCCTGACAGGCTTAACTATGAATTCATGCCCTTAGAAGACTTTTTAGTGAAATGTTTCCATGATAGGAGAACACATTTACATTTTTGGCAAGGAAAGCACAATATCATCACACAACTCTGAAATAGCTAACACTATCAAATTATGAAAAAGAGAAGACATGATTAAAGCAATGTCTATCAATGCCACCATCCAAATGCTGCTTCAGGCAATAAGTTAATATAATCAATAGTAGTGTTGGATAATCGAGGGATCTTATGACACAGTCCCTGCCTCTGAACCAGGAAGGCCTTGGTTTAAGTCTCACCTGCTCCAGAGGAGTGTAACAGCATCAAAAACAGAACAAGAACAGATGGGCACTGAACACTTCTTGAATGATGGTAAAATAAAGTTACCTGATTTTAGCAAAGTAGCTCAAAACTAGGCCTTACAGTCTTCCACAATGCTGCTACTACTTGCAGAATGAAATGTGTGCAAGATCTTCTCCCCAAGATTCTAAACACCTTCAGCTGTTTTTTACATGAAGGACAACTAAATAAATGTTAGCGTTGTTGTCTTACTTCCTGTTATACCTGCAATACTTTGCAACACGAGAATAGACATTTTGTGCCAACACACCAATGGCATGATATGGCACAAACTCTAAAGTGGAGCTCAGCACTGAGGAATTGTTAATTTATAACAATAAAGAATGTGATCCTTTTATTGTTTGGGTATGGCTATTTCTGTTTCTGTTATCCAAAGAACACAATGAAATATTGTTACCAGCAGAGATGTTCAAATTGTTTATTTGGCATGATGTTTGCCAGGAGTTATTTGAAACATATTGGTTTTACTCAGTTTGAGAGATATGGCCAATAAAGGCAAAGAAGTAAAAAAAATTTTTAAACAAAAGCTGTTACGTTTTTAACACAAGTTCAACTTCCTCCCCTCTTGGCATGATTTTAATGCAGGTACATATTATTAAATGTTAATAGTTCAAAGATTTGGGTAACAAAATGCTTGGCAAGGTCTTGTAGCTGGTACAATAAATTTGAAGGCAGAAATTCAACACCTTGGAGGCAACTTTCAACCTCTCTGTTGTTTGGCAGGAGTTATTTGAAACATATTAGTTTTACTCAGTTTAAGAGATATGGCCAATAAAGGCAAAGAAGTAAAAAAATTTTTTAAACAAAAGCTGTTACATTTTTAACACAAGTTAAACAGTATTGCTGCTGAATGAGGGAGCAGCTCAGAGGATGGTCCTGCTTAGTGATAAAAGAACCAGCTATTGGAGCAGCATCACAACAGATTTACAAAGAGGCAGAGACAGAGAACTTGAGCGGCGCTGTTGAAAACTGCCTCTGGCTGTGCTAGTTTAATCATGCATATTAGTACTGCTCCATTTGTCAATTTGTTTACCCTGGGCTTGTGGTGCCAAATAGACTTTGCTAGGTAAGTATGACAGCACCTGCGCTGAGGGGGCTGGGTTACTGCCAGGTAGGAATAATATTCATGCTGAAGCTTAACCTGCCAGGTTGCCTCAACATTGTCCCATTCCTTCCTTTTCTGAAAAGCTACAATATGTGGCAAATATCCTGCCCATGAATTCTTTGCCTCCCCAGCCCATGTTTGTCCAGTACATATGTTTGAATTTGAGATGATCCTTAAAGATGCCTAATTTGATGAAAATATAAGAACATAAGAAGAAGGGACAGAGTGTAGAGCATTCAATCCATTGAGAACATTCCTCCAGACAATAAAATCATGCCTGATTGGTTGTGGTCTCAATTCCACTTTCCTGTCTGATGCCATTAACCCTAAATCCCTTGTCAATCACAAACCTCTCTAACTCAGTCTTTGTAAAAAAAAAATATTGTAAAGAACCGTAGCATTACCTTGGAGGCGACAAGTTACAGAATACAACTAATACCATGGAAATTAAGCCAGATCTGTTTTGTTAATTATTGCTATGTTAATTTGAAAAACTAAGTGGCTGATATTTCATTTCTGTCTCTTTGTAGGTTGGGTCTGTATTGAGATTCATCGTGATGAGAGTTAAACCATTCAGAATGCAATGAATGGTTAAATGAATTAATATTTGATATTCAGGAGCACAGTTCATAGCTGCAACATGTGTCAATTACACAAGAAGTTAAGCATTCAGATGTAATTAGAGCAAAGAATGACAGAAGTAATTATGCTCAACATATTTTGTGCGATTTTTTGCAGTCACACATTGACATTACTGTTTTGCAGGTGGAATCTACAAAAATCTTGATGAACAGACTGGACTCAGTTGTGCGCCATACCCAACAGGAGTTGCAAGAAACTAATAAAGCAGTCAACAAGGGTGAAAGCAAGACAAATCAGATTACTGAAACTCTGCAAAAGCTGCAGAATGAAATCCTTCAAGACCTTTCTGATGGGATCCAAGATGTAAAAGATGCAAGAGAGAGAGATGTTACATCTCTTGAAAAAACTGTAGAGGAAAAATTAACAGAATTAACCAAATCAATCCACGATAACATTGTCGCTTTTACAGAAGTACAGGAGAAGAACCAGAATGACATCGATGAAATGAAGTCAAAGATCGGTTTATTGGAAACAACAGTTGAGACAAAAGGTCAAGAAATTATGATGTTAGTTGATAAACATGATCAGTTGAAAAGTGCCTTACATTCACAGGTTACAGCACAGGAAGCACTAAAGCAATCAGTCTCTAATGCTGAAATATCTCTCAATGCTGTGTCTGAAGAAGTTCACAATTGTCGTCAAGATTTACAGGAAACTAAGAACAGCTTGAATGACCAAGAAAAGGTACTGCTGTCAAAAGCAATTGATGCTTCAGCACGTGTTGAAAAACAAAATGGGGTATTTGAATCCCGATTATCTGTGGCAGAAGAAAACATTATTGCTTTGAATACAGCTGCAACACACTTATCTGAAAAGTTAGAATTCTACAATCTAGATTCTGTGCTGGATACAATGAGAGGTGTGGCTGAGTCTCAGGCATCACTCAGCAATGACATTCAAACATTAAAAGCAAACCTGAAAGACCTGCAAAACCCACCTACAGAGGAAGTACTCAATGCTGTACAGAATGAAATACAAGCTCTAGAAGCACGGCAGAAGGAACAGATTACGGAAGTACAATCAGACAACAAAGAAAACCTCAAACATTTGGCAGAGACTGTCACTGAAATAGGTGAAAAAAGTCAAAATATTGCAGCTGCATTAAAATCCATGGAAGAGACTATAAGGTCTGAGGTTGACGAGAAATTGTCAACGATGGAAAACTCCATGGATGAACTGAAGTCTTCAATCAGTGAGGCCAAGACTGATCTGGAAGTATTAGGGTCAACTGTGGACAGCCTACTCTCCAAATCTGGGGAGACTGAGACAGCGGAGGATGAACTGGCATCCCTAAAGCTGTCACTAAATGAGTTGCAATCTGATGTTGATAAATTATCAGTGTCTTTAAATAGAATGCAATAAGGTATTAAATACAAGTAGTTGGGTGAATTTTCAAAACAATTTCCATATCGTATTGAATCACTTGGAAATATAGAACATAATTGAGATTGTTTTAATGAGTTTTTATAACAGAATACAACATTGTAATGTATGGTCGAACTTTGAAGTTAAAGAAATAAAAGTTCTAAAAATAACCTTTTTTGTTCTACATAAGTTCAGTTCTATGAAAATAATGTGTAACATCAACCTTTTGAAATGAGATAGAAATGCTTCCAAGTAAAAGCCAACAAATTGCTTTGCATTCCCTTTTCAATGCAATGTCAATGTCTACAGATAGAGAACCCATGCATTTATTGTGAGTATGGGCCAATGGCCACCATTACTCTCAAAATGACATTCAGTAAAAATTGAACTCATGGCCCCCCATTTTGCCAGCATGAAATCATTGTTAGCCCATTGAATGTTCCATCGTGAACTGCAATGCCTAAATTAATCCAAATGGTATCAGAGAATAGAACATAATGTTGGCTGGCAGTGAAGGAATGTTGCACAGTTACCAATGCTGTTTTTCAGAGGGGCTGTTCAACCAATGCACTCACTGCCTTAATAAAAACCGAAAGAAGTGCAGATGCTGTAAATCAGGAACAAAAACAGAAGTTGCTGGAAAAGTTCGGCAGGTCTGGCAGCATCTGTGAAGGAAGAAAAGAGTTAACGTTGCGGGTCCAGTGACCCTACCTCAGAACCGTTGAGTTGTTTTCACTCTCTGCCTTCTTGGATGTAAAATATTTACTGTCAGAAGACTTCAGAAGAACACAGGGAAGCTCTAGCCAATTTGCTGGCCATTGTCTGTCAACCAATATTACTAAAAAGCAATTATATGGTCAGGATCACCTTGCTGCTTTGGGGACTGTGCAATGCAAAAATTGTTTGATAGCTTCCTGCATTATAAGGGTGATGTTGTTACAATTGCAACAGGATGACATTATGGAAGACATTATTATAAACCCACATTCTTTCTTTTTTAATCATAAAGGGAAATTACCTGAAATTAGTCTAAGTTCGTTAAACAAATAAATTTGGGTCTTATGTTGATTGTAAGTCCCTGAATATGAAAGTTTTGCAGAAATAGATATGTGCTAAGCACATTGTCATCTATTGGATCAGGTGTTGAACAAACTGAATAGCAATTGATAGAACAACCATTGGAGATTACATAAGAAATAGATTTTAAGCTTTTGTTTCCATCAGTTCAGGAAAATAAGCTCACCTGTTTAAAGTCTTCACTGGGATTGCCAGGCCACCAGCCTCTCCCCATGCCCTTAACTCTACCCCAAGACTTTAGCATCTGGCCAACTTGAGACCAAACCAAATTTGGTGTAGCCTGGCCCAGAATTTCACTGACCTTGTGTTCATTTTAAATGCAAGTTGAATTTCTCCACATTGTGGTAATAACAAGGGAACACAATGTATTCAATTGAATTTAGTTTGTCTGCTATTTAAACCAAGCTATAGTTCTCATCAAATTATAACCTAATCTACCATCGGAAAAGATAGCAGCATTCTCTGTTGGATATTATTGATGGAGTGTAGGATGTTCAACCAAAATCATAAAGGGAAGGACCGTTATTGTGGAAGATACATTGAAGGTACAATGGGTATACTGATAGTTTAATCTCCAATCCATCAACCAGCTGTCATATGGCACAAAACTCAGACCACACTTTCCATGTGTAGCTTCCTTCCAATCATCCTTTCAGGATTTTCCTTACATAATTCTGCCATCTTTTGGGGGCATTTACCTTCAGCCATCTTATAGATGTCCTGCCCAACACAATCTGAAACTTCACACAGGTATCTCCTAAGTAGTTTAATTCTAGCCAGTTTCTTATTACAGCTGGCACAAAAATATCTAACTATAATGTAATTGGTTTATGAGTTATTTATTGTTGAGCAAGTTGATATGGTAGTGTGCACTGCCTGAAGGCAGATCATTGGCTTCATCCTGAGCTGTTTTCCTGATGGCTCCTTTATCAGTGGTTATGTATCCTTGCCTCCCACAGTCAAGTAAGGATGCAGATTAAAAGTATACCTCATCTGAATGGGGAATCAAAACTATACTATTGTTATTAGTCTAAAAAACCAGTTCACCATCTCCTAATTGAACTAAGCGGCACCCTAGAAATACAAATTTTGTTGCTTAAGTGGATAGATAAGAAGCCAAGTTATGCAGCTTGTTAAACCCAAAAGGTTTATTTATGATTATGTTATTATCAGATGAAGATACCGAAGTCAATCAGAAAGTTAAACAGGAAATAAAGTTTGATGTCTGTTACAATGTCCCACTGACAAATAATGTAATCACATTCACTGGGGTGAATGAAAACATTCAAAATCATCAAGTATTTTTATTTAAATATTTTGGAAAAGAAGAATGATATTCCACTCAGCAGTAATTGATGGATTTTGACAAATGCGATGCTGGAAAAACACAAGAGGTAACGACTGGAATGAAGGTCAGTAAGAAAAACAAGTGGGCCCTTCAATAACTACAGCAATGATTTATACTAAGTATGGAATGCACTGCCTTAAGGAGACATGCCAATCAAGACATTCAAGAAAGTGCTGGAATATTATCTGAAAAGGAAGAATATACAGGGATAAGGCAGTGAAGTGGCACGAGCTGAATTACTCCTTTGGAGAGGCAGCACAGACATAACTAGCCAAATGGACTCCTTCTGTGCTGCAACCATTCTAAGGTTCCATATTTTATATGGTTTCTTCACTCTTGCAAAGTAGTTTTCATATATAAAAAATGGGTGCTTCCATCTAATGCTCATGAGGATCAGATGTTTTTGAGATTGTGGTAGCAAAAGAAGTCTGATATTTTTTCTTCGTCTTTATCTGGGTTTCATTTTCTTTGGCTATTGCTCTTTCCTTTGATGACACAACATACCAAGTCCCTAAAATAATACTGCTGGAACAGCTTCTGTTCTTCCCAGCAGTAACCACAGTCCTCAGCACAATCATTCCAAATACCTTCTTAATATCTGTTACAGATGTGGAGATGAACGATAGTACAAATATAGGGAGGAAGATGGGTTCAGTCAAAGGAAGGAATTTCTATACTTCTCGAGTTTTCCTTGAATTTTGAATTACAGATACACTGACTGTACTTTTCTCAACATTTTTGAAATAAATTTGTGAAAAATTTTCTCTTTGTCCCTGGTGACAATTTACAATTTAAGGTCTAAGAAACACTTTCAATGTAGAACATATTTCTTTGTATTGTTGTTTTATAGCAGACTCCTTTTCAGTAAAATCTTTCAAAGAGGGGTCACTTCACACTGTTCAGCAGAACTAAAATGAATTCCAACAAGTTAATCTTTATGGAATAGGCATTATTATAGCCAAGTCTTGAGAGATGAAGAAATTCTTCTTGTCATTCCTGAGGTTAGTAATTCAGAGTTTTGAATGTTTAAAGAGATTTTTTTCTTCCCTATAATTCAAAATGCCACTTGAACATGTATTGAAGCTATGAAGAACAAGCTAGACTAATCTCTTTGAGTTAATCAAGGTCAAGGAACTAGTTTATTGCATACTCACTCAAGTAAAGTATAAAAACTTATTCAAAAGGAAAAAGCACATCCCAAATTCAATGATATGCACACAAGAAAAAAAATACCATTCTTTAGCAAAGGAATTAAATTTTCAAATGTTAATCTTGAAATTCTGATGGTGTTATGTGATGTAATGTGTATGGTTTAAATGCAATAATATTATTATTTTAGAGTTTGGATTCCAAATGAGTGTTATATAGGTATCAGACTTTTCTTTGACAACTTGAAAGCTGTGCTGATAACCACACTATTTTAGAAATGCTAAATTATGAGAAGCCATTCATGTTGGTGCCATAGCAATTTACTTCAAGATGATTACAGAAGAATCAAATGCCCAATTGTTATTTTTTTGAAAAGCTGATCACATGGCAACAGAAATATTCAAGAGAGGAGGAGAAATCGTGATATTGTGCTTGGTCTACATCATCTAGAAATGTACATTATCAATAATGTGGAAGAAACTTATTTATACAGACGACAATTCTTTGGTTATTTTTGGAGAAATTTCATGACACAAACTTACAGTTGTTTCAGTGGAGCCTAATCCTCTTCCTGTATAAGCTAAAAGTCAATCACGTGCCTGGAAAAAAATGCTATAACAGATGATTTATTGAAAGCATGCATGATGGAAACAGAATACTATGATGCTAATGGACTTATGTAAAATATGATTGTTATGAAATTCATTGATGTCAATATATTGCAATTGTTAATGCGATATATGTTAATGTGATAAAGAAATGTGTTAACAAAGAATTTTTGATGGATAATAAAAATAACTCATTTTCATTCTTCTTTAGGGAGATGTGATGCAAAATATGTGATTTACATATATTAATCTTTGTAAAGTTTGGATTTCAAACTTGTGGCACATAGATAGAGGTCCAGTTTTTTTTTGGTGGGGAGGACTTTAATAATTAACAACGTCAGCATTTTCAGAATCATGATTTTAAACTGGTATGTGTCAAAGTCTCCTGGATGATTGATGGAAGTTTGTTTGTATTGTGAGGTTTCTGAACAAGAGGAAAGAGAAAAAATAAGCTATCGACTTTGCAGAAGATAGAATGAACAAGCTGTTTTGAAACATATTTTAGTTAAAAGCTTCTGAACTCAGTTTGAAGGGGGTCTGACTGAAGGCAGATGGAAGAATAGTTTCTCCCAGAAAAATAAGTTTGTTCAGATCAGTTAAAGGAACAAGTCATCTCAGTGTAAGGGTTTGAGTTTGTGAACAAAAACAGAAGTTGCTGGAAAAGCTCAGCAGGTCTGGCAGCATCTGTGAAGAAAAAATCAGAGTTAACATTTCGTTAACTTCCTTAGAGTTTGTGAAAACTGCCAGACCAGGGGTAGTTGCTTAAAATTGTAAATACCATATCTTTTTACTTTTCTGTATTTTTGATTGTGGAGTGAAAGGCAAAACAGTTGTTTTAAAACAAGGAATTATGAAAGGAATTGCTGTAGTTTTAAAAAGCAAGTAGCTGAAAATCATTATAAGTCATGTTTACATTGTTGCTATGTTTAATCAGGTTGCATGGGC